ACCCTTCCCCAGTCCCCCTCCTCCCCCCCCCCCCGCCGTCCCTACGCGACGCCCATCCTCAACGGCTTGTCCATCCCGCCGGCCCACAGCCCCACCGCTAACTGGGACCAGCCGGTCTATACGACCCTGACGAGGCCTTAAAGGCTGCGCGGAGCCCCCGAGGGCTTCCCCGACATATGCACTAATGAAGGAATGAAGACGAAGAGCGTGGAGTGCCGCGATAGTTTCCGAAGTGCCTCCTGAGCCGCTGGGAACTCTGCTCGTTGCGACTGGATGTCCCCTTGCTTCAAAACTCTCCAAAAGGACAGAGCTCTATTTTTCTTTAATTAATACAATTTTAAAAAATAAAAAAAATAACTAAAAAAAAAAAAAAAGGACCGGCGATTCCTTTTGAATAAATGAAGGACAAAACCATTCGACTCCTCTGTGAGGACTGAACTGAACTTACTCGTCGTGGAAGTTGACAAGTGCAAAAGTGGAGCAGGGGGGTGGGAAGGGGGGGGGAAGAAAAAAAGCTGTTTGAGACTTTAAGGGTCTATTGCAATGTGAGGAACGGACCAACCTTGAGGGCAAGAACTCACTCGGACCAACGCGGATGAAACCCGAAAACCCGGCTCTTCCGTGGAACAATCTCGTGGGAACAAACGAGTCTGGTGGGACCAACCAATTAAATGTCTGAAGTGTTTGTTTTTTTAGTCAAGAGTTCTTCTAAGCAAGGTTTGGCTGTAATTAACATTTTGTTTTGTTTTTTGGAAGCTTAAAGTGTTTTGTTTTTGTTTTTTTTAAAATCTGTTAAATATGTATTTATGTTCTGTATTATTTTGTCTTTTAATTAATGAAGTAATTTTGTGCAAAAAGTAGAATTTTAAAAGATTTTAAAGAGGGGGTGGGGAGGGAGCATAAAAATAGTGGAGATGATACAATAAAATGGTGGTATGAGTCTATAGATTTTCGTCGGGTTTGGGGTTTTTTTCGTTTTGAACCGCTGCAGCAGTCGTGTTTGAGAGAGGGACTGAACGAATCTGCCCATCGCAGACCCGGTCACCAACAGGAAACTCAAACAGGAATGTAAAATAACGAGGGGGGGAAGTTACTAATTAAATTGGGAGGCTAAAACGATTGCAAAAAGGAGCAGGCGGTTTTTCTGGCTACCTGCTTTCAGGCGTTAAAATTGGATTTTAAGGCATTGCGGAATCTTTGTACACTTTCAGAACCAGGACTACTTTATAGGAAGATGTAATTTAATGAGAAATTATCAACTTCTGATTTAATTTTGGCTTCTAGGGACCAGATATCATCCATCAAGCTGTGAAACTAAAATCTTCTCCACTAAAAAAAATTTTTAGGTACTTAGTTTTAGACTAATATTTCATTGATATATTTCTACTTCTTCCATTGTATGCTGAGCATATAATAACCATCTATTTTATGGTAACTTGTGCCTTTAAAAACTTTGTAAATCTAAAAACACATTTCAGAGGTTATCATCTTTTTACCTTTTCTACGTTTCCTACTCTTTTTCTAAAAATATTTTTTGCATATTTCCTTTTGGGGACGTGGGGGTGTGGCAAAATACAGAAAACTCATTTTTATGCAATCTATTTTTCTGTATAAAGTTTGAAAGACTTTGGCTGTTACTTATCTGTTCTCTTCACTAGCTTCTGACTAAGCAATGCTAACTTTTGTACAGATCAATTTGATAAAATTAAAAATTGCTTTTTATCAAGTTCGTGTTATGTTTTCTTTCTGCTTGAGCCTATTTCTGTGCTGAAAAGAAACGCGGAGAACAGCTTTGAGAGAGACAGGATATTCAGAACAAAATATTTTGACCAAGGTTTTCTCTGTTCTCCTAATAATATGTTGGTTTGGGTTTTTTTTTTTTCCTTGCTCCCTTTCCCTGTACTTAGATGGTGTCTTACTATGAGATTTTTAAAGATTTTTTTTTTACTTCCTTGAGAAGTGCATTTCCATGCCCGTAATCCCAAGGATTTCATAGGATTTCAGCGAGACTGCTCACATGAGTAAGGGTTTGCAAGGTCAGACTGCATGATTTTAGACCAAGTTCATTTTATTCTGTACAGCACGTAGGAATTTTACAGTAACAAATTCTGCTTTCTGGTTGGCGAGCCCTTGTAAATACCTCTTATGATAGCAACAAAATTATATGTTGCATGTAGTGGTTTGTTGGTTTGTTTTTTTTCAAATAGTCATTAAAATAGCTACATTTGTGACTTTTTTTTTTTTACTTGCATAAACTAAGTTGCAGTTTGGTTTTACCAGTTCAGACAAACCCATGCAAGATGTTCAGGCTGGGCCCTAATTGGGACAAAAGGGTTGGGATTAGGGAAATCCAGCCGCCCCCTGCCCGCGAAACGCGCTCAGGACTTGGTTGCAGTGCAGCACTGTGGAAAATGTTTTAACATGAGGAAAAATAAATGTGATGACAATTAATGAAGCTCAAGAACATTAACAGAGTCTGAACAACAGAATCCCAATGCAAATTTGCTGTTTGCGGTATCTGCCAAGAGCTATCTTGCCAGAGTGTCTGTAACTGGACACCATTTTCTCTGTGCTCATTTACAAAACTGCTGGCAAAATGACTTTATTACGCTATAAGCCAAAGCTGCAGAATAACTTTCAGAGGAGACTTTTTCCTCCTTTCTCCTCCCTCCAGTTACAACGCCAGTTTCAAGTCTTATCCTAATTCATGCTCGAAAAATAGATGCGTTTTGGCTTCACCTCTTCTGCATGTTGAGGTAGGGCTTCCTCTCCGAAGTCACACACTTTGGGGGGAAAAAAGAAGAAAAAAGGTGAGACGGGAATGCAAGTCCTTACCTTTGCTTTCTTCTTGATGTTTAACAGCAAAGCTTACAGCGACTTTGCTGATATCTGGATTAATCCTTAAAACAGGCTTAAAATATCTGTTTGCAATGGTATTGTAAATCACCCAAAATACTGAAATTAAAAATTGCACTGAAGCGTCTCCGGCTCATGGGAGAGTGGGATGGGGGTCTGTGCACCCAGCAGGGTGGGTCCCAGCCGTAGGCTTGGGGAACATTACCAAGCTCTTGCCTCTCTCCTTTTTCTTCTTCTCCCAGTGCATTGTACCAGCCCTGGGTTCCTAGCACGGGGTGACATCCAGCGAGTGCAACGTCCTTGGCACGGCCAGGAGCTGCGGGGCGCTTGTGCAGGGACGTGCTCTCCTCCCGCAGATGCTGCGAGAGCCCTGGGCGGCCGTGGGGTCCCCGGACCAGCCTGGCGACTACACCAAGGAAACGTGCATCCAAAATACGCAGATTTTAAATCCGTTCGCTTTTGACCATGCTCACTTGCCACTTGTTTTTGCTTTCTGTAAGATTTGCAAAATGAAGTTAGCTTTTATGAATATTTGCAGAAACAAAATGCTGTAGATCTACACCGGTCAGTAGGTACAAGCAATGATGTGAGCCTCGGGAACCCCCCTGCAGCTCCTGGAAGCAGCTCCCGTTTGAACAGCTAATGCTGAATAGTGACGCGCAACTTTTTTTTATTGCCCTCAGGGTCGGGGATGCTCACTGCACGTTTGCTGTTGAGTAAAAATTCAAAGACGTTACAAAATGGATGTTCAAGAAGGTGATAGGCAGGTAAAATTCACCAGCCCGAATAATCCCAGTGACTCAGGCTTTAGGGTGAGCTGGAGATTTCTAAGAGCACCAGAAGTTCATTCCCCATGCCTAGATTTACACTTAAACATGCGAGTCTCCCATTTCATTTCCTTAGGAGAGCACCACTGGTCGGGGACACAGTTTATATTCAGAGGAGAGCTTTTTGATTTGAAATTAATGTTGTTTGTATAAATGCATTTTCATGCATTGTCCTTTTCTTCCATTTTATGTGTAGATATTGTCTACAGAAAGAGAAGTGATTTTCCACGAGCCGAGTGCCTTCCTGACGTGAATGGCAGCATTGTGTGTCCCGAGCTCGGCTCTGATGGCTCTTGTGTTGGCGTGAATCTGGAATGTCTCTGCAGAAGTCAATGAGATCAGGTGAAACCAAGACCGGCTTTTGACCCCTGGCTGTCAACAAAAAAGGGTTCTCAAGATAATTGCAGGAATACACAAGCGATAAAAGTTCCTCTTTTTTATTTTTGGTGCAGAGAATAATGAATGTTGCTATTTATCTGAATGCTCAGAAGGTACTGTTTAGTAAGAAAGAGGAAATTAATGTTATAGACCGTATCCACATTCCTTCTGCATGGTGGAAAAAGAAAAAGTCCCTTCCCATCCTCCTTATATTTTCCTGGAGTGATATCAGCTTTTGTTACACATTTTTTACAGATGGGTATTAGGTTTACGGCAAAGAAATTCTGAAATGGCATTTCAATGAGGGTGTTCAGTTTTAATAAACTCCCACATGGGTATATCCCTGCTCCCTGTCTATGGACTGGCCTCCTCGGGACGTCTGGCTTTTCCAGCTGGGCTGGTCGGACCCAACCCGCAGCTCTGCTCTGCTGCGAGACGTGGGCCCATGAGAGTGGGGGTGAGCGGGGGTACGGGACAGCCCCGCCGGGCGAGCTCCCACGCAGGACTGCTCCCCGCGGGATCCCCGGGGATCTGAACACAGGGATTTGGCCATCCTCACATGCTGCTCCTGAAAGCAGCAGCCGCGGGGCTGCCTGTCCTCGCCCGGCATCTGCAGCCTAATGCTCGATGAGACGAGAAGAGGCGCGCGGCCGCTCCCTCCCTCTGCCACGTTTATCCCCCCCTTGCCAAGGCCGGATGCTCGCAGCCCCTGGCTACATGTTGCCTGTGATCCGGAGGCAAAAAAAATTAAATATAAAATAAAAATAACTAGAGACATGAGTGCCGTTTGGCGTACATGGTGTTTGAGCACCAGGAGGGCAGCAAAAGCCGTTTTCAGGTGAGCGGGCAGACGCTGCGACCAGTGACCCGGGTAGGGCAGAGCTCCGCTGCCGTGCGAAGCTGGAGAGATTTTGGGAGCAGGAGCAGCGGCGTGCAAGCCCTTGGGAAGGCTCGGTGGCCACGGGAGCTGCTGGGACAGGGCTGGGCAAGCTGAGGAGGTGCCATGGTGAACACAGCATGGCACAGCCCCGGCCCCCCCGGGGTCCCGGATGAACCCGACCGTCAGCGAAGGCTTTAAGG